CCCCGCCACACTGCTACTTCTCGATTGGCTCCCCCTCCCCTCGGATGCCGGTCAGCCCTCCTGTTCCCGGACGGCCCCGTGCCCCTCACCACCCCTCTGTTTGAAAACACCGAGATATAAATACCCCCCCCAGCCCACAGCTTGCCGACACACAGTGAGCAAGCAGGGAGGACTTCCTGTCGTCCCGGAGAGGATCTGCGGCATCAGCCCAGGGGGCAACGTTGGGAAAAGCCACCTGACCGAGGGAGCCGTCTACGCGTGCGATGGAAGCCGAGACCACAGTGCCCCCCGCAGCCCCTGAGCCCCTCTGCCCGGGTTGCCAGGCGGGTGACTCAGCCCTGCTGCCCTGCGGGCACCGGCTGTGCACGAACTGCCTGCAGCAGTGCCAGCGGGAGGTGGGCGCTCCGGGCTGCACCGTGTGCTATGGCCGCCAGCTGCTGGACGGCGTGCTGCACCGCCTGCTGGACTCCCTGTTCGAGGGCCAGCCACGGCGAGAGGCCACCACCGGGGGGCCCCGCAGGCTCTGCGCCCGCCACGGAGAGGAGCTCACCCTCTTCTGTGTGGATGATGAGGAGCTGGTGTGCACCTCCTGCCAGGAGAATGAGCACGAAGAGCACCAGTGCTGCCCTCTAGAGGAGGCTGTGCACGACTGCAAGGTGAGGGGTACGGTCCATGCCAAACCTGCTCGAACTACACATGATCGCACACACAAAAAAACAAACTACACGCTTGTTTAAATGTGTCAAACTGCTGTGCTTTTGAAGAAAGGGCTCCTTTCAATGTCCAGCTGTACACAGCTGAAGGTGCTTAGATACAACGGGTTAGAGCAGGAATGGGTTAAACCGCTGTACCCTTCAGGCAGGTGCTGTGAGCCCCGTCCAGCTGAATGCTTAATCCTCCACACCTGTCGTGAAGCTGTCTTTCTCACTGTCATGTGTCGGGTCAGAGGGAGCTCAGGGTCGCAGTGAAGCCCCTGCAGGAGAAGCTGGAGGACTTCACTGCAGCCAAGCAGAGCTGCGAGGAGCTGGCGGAGCACATCAAGGTAAAGGCCTCCGGCTCAGCAGCCCACCCCCATGGCGGCACTGCGGCCCAGAGCCAGACCCCCCCTTCCTTTACCACCCTCCCTTAGGACCAGGCCCAGCAGAGCGAGCGGCTCATAAAGGACGAGTTCAAGAAGCTCCACAGGTTCCTGAGGGATGAGGAGGCGGCCATGTTAGCAGCTCTCAAGGAGGAAGAGGAGCAGAGGAGTCAGACGACAAAGGACAAGATGGAGAAGTTGGCCGGAGACTTACGGTCTCTGACAGACGACATTCAACTGGTGGAAGAGCAGCTGGCTGCTGATGACATCACTTTCCTCCAGGTACGTGTCCGTGGTGGAGCTGGTCAGCCCCTTCGAGGTCACGGCTAGGCACAGCAGGGATTGGTCCATAGATCAGAGCTTCTATTTATGTTTCTTCTGGTATCTCTTTATGTGTGAACAACTTCTGCTGGCCAAACTGCACCTTTCATTTCCCTTCTGTTCTGCAGAACTTCAAGGCAACCATCCAACGGTATGTGTTAGATAACCACCGTTCCCACCACGTACCCTGAACCCAGTCACACTGGGGGCCGTCACCTTGATGTGGCTTGCTATTGCTTGTGATCATTTGCAGAGCACAGCGCCCCCTACAGGAGCCAATAACTGACTTTGGTGGCCTGATTGATGTACCTAAACACGTAGGGAACCTAAAGTATAGGGTTTGGGAGAAGATGCAGGACCTGGTCCAGTACAGTGAGTGAATCTGTGAATGTGGATGACTTGCATTATGATTAACACTAGTTACCTAAGCCAGTGGTCAGTATACTTATATATAATCACCACTACTTCAGATCTCTCTCCATGAACATTCCAAGTTGGAGGACTTGACCTAATTTCTCAACCCTCCAGCCCCTGTAACACTGAACCCCAACACGGCAGACATCTGCCTCTCCGTGTCCGATGACCTGACGTCTGTGAGGTACCTGGACGAGGACCAGCACCTTCCCGACAACCCAGAGCGGTTCCGGTCCTGTGAGTGTGTGCTGGGCTCCGAGGCTTTTGACTCGGGGCAGCACGTCTGGGACGTGGAGGTGGGGGACAACTCGGAATGGGCCCTGGGCGTGGCCCGGGAGAGCATCCAGAGGAAGGAGTGGTTCCCTCCAAACCCAGAGCGGGGTTTGTGGAGCATTGGCCTGTCGGCGGGAGAGTTCCGGGCAAGGGCCCCTATCGCCACACCCCTGGTGCTGAAGAAGAAGCCTCAGAGGGTCCGGGTGCAGTTGGACTGGGACCGCGGCCGACTTACCTTTTCCGATGCCATTGACAACACTCTCCTCTACAAGTTCAAACACAAGTTTGCTGAGAAGGTCTTCCCATACTTCTCCAGCTCCTGCAAGCGCCACCCGCTGCGAATCCTACCAGAGAAGGTGTGGGTCACAGTGGACTAGCGGCAATGCACTACTGAGTTACAGAGGAAACCAGATGCTAGCGACACACTGCTAGCACCCTCTGTTGACATAATCTTGTCAACGTCTAAAAAGAACCAAAGTCTAATCAGGACTAATCATCATATATTTCGAGTTTTCATTTGAAGGTGACACACAGCACATCCTAATCTGAAAGGCAAAGCTTCTCCCTTGTAGGGGTGAGTTTTGTGAACCCCAAGCTCATAGCTAGTCTCCAGGTTAAAGGAGGCAATCATCAAATGCTTAAGGTGAACAGTATCTTTCTGGAGCCAGACCGAACTACCACTAGTAGAAGGTTCTCCAGAATGTCTGCAGAAAGCCTTTGACCGCACTTCGTAATCTCTGTGTGACTATACCGAGTGCCTGTCCCTTTAATGATTTCATTTTTATTTTTAGGGTTCGTTTTCTCTTTCAGATCTTGCTTACATCTGACGCAATTGCCGCTACTCTACAAATGAGCGTTTAAGTATTTTCGTATTATGTAGGGTAAACCTTAGGCAGAACTTCATCACAGCAGGTTTTGTGAAACGCTTGCCTTTCGCTGTTTTTCAATTAGTTTATGTTCGATTGTGGATTTGTTCAGATTTGTGATTTTTTTTTGAATTTGCTCAAATATGAAGTGTGTCGCTACTTTCTTTCCCGCGCCGCCCCTGAGGTTTATAAGAAGCAGCATTTAATAAAAGCTTTACGCAACGCCTCCGACTTTAATCCGTTTTAATGCTCATGGCATCCACCCCCGCCGCCCGGGCACCTGCCCTCGCTCGTCTTCCTCATGTCACCCCGGGACTCAGGTTACACTCGGCCCGGAGCAGCCGCTTCAGTATCAGATCCCACCACCCGAACGGCCGCATTCGCCGCGTTCAGCGGACGGTGGCTCGGCCGCTCAGGCGCGTTGCCGCGCAGTGACGCAATGCGCGTTCCTGCGTCCCGCTTCTCTCTTTACGGACCTGCTCCCCTCATCACGCCCCCGCTTTTTACATTAGATTTTTTTGTCACTTAAGCTTTTAATGCTGCCAATGCAAACTCTCACGTCGATCACTGCATATTGTTTTATTTTACGTATATTTATGTGATAATCCAGTTTATTCCATTCGGCCTGTGTCCCCAACAGCTTAAATACTTCATACTTAAATAGCCCACTTGCATTACCGAAAGGTCGCGTTATTCTTAGAAAGAGTGTTTCTGGATTTGTAACTGATGACAGTATAGTTAATGGATATAGATTAGGATAAACAAGGCATTAATTTAGCGCAAGATTCACAAACTTTCAGTGCAGTATCCTTCAGGCGCTTACAGCTTCTGACTAAGACTTCGCTGAAGTCACTCCCTCTTTCTGACTTTCAGTACTCCTCGGGAAATGTTAGTGCGACATATTGAAAATTAACAAAAAGTACTAAAACAAAATCATTTGTAATAATACAATTAATGTCATATTGTAGAAGACCTTACAATGAAAAATGTGCAAATGTAAACAATCATCTTAAATATAAATTATACGCTCTATGATAATATTATGATAACGTAATATTTGATTTACTATTTATTTAATGAATATTCATATTAATTTAACGTTTAATACCGTTCAAGCAATAATTCACGTTATGAGAATTTGTTTCATCTCTTCTGAAGTGCTTCCACCTTTTTAATAAAGGCGTGAGTAGAATCTACGTGTTTGAGCAGATTTTCTCCTTCGTTCATTCTGTATTCAGAAGCCGGTGGTAATATGCTGTGAATCCCGTTTCTCCTGCACCAACAATCTTCACACACGGGACTCGGCGATCAGGAACATCAGGTTTCATGAGTGACACACACAACCTGAAGCTGAAAGCAAACTTATTTAAATGACGGCAGCTCTGAAGGCACATGATTCACTTATCTGTGCTTTTTCTAGCAGACGGTGGCCGATTCGCAGCTTCATCGACGCCAGACGTCGTGTTCGATTCATCTAACAGGAATGTACTATTGAGAAAGCAGGGTGAGACCGTCCCTGGAGCAATTAAGGTTAACAGCCTAACTCAACTATCTCTCTGATGAACCTGGGATTTGAACCAGTGACCTTCTGAGCTGCATCCCTCCCACGACATTAAAAAGCCAGACCTGCTGGTGTGCCTCAGCACAGAGACTGAAATGATGCTCTTTTATATAATAATGATGATGACGACGTTTTGGACACATGCCACCCCCCCCCCCATTTGTTTTCTGCAAATGTTCCATGCATGCTGGAAGATGCATCAGCACCGGTGCACGCTGGAAGATGCATCAGCACCGGTGCACGCTGGAAGATGCATCAGCACCGGTGCACGCTGGAAGATGCATCAGCACCGGTGCATGCTGGGAGACCCACAGAGATGAGCTCTGATAAACCACACACTGTGGAGTTAAGGAACATTTATTGTTCAGTGTTTTAATACCCTCCTTTATACATTCCTTCATTAATCTCATATCGGCCATATGTATTTATCATATTGCCATTTATATCAGATCAAAAATAAAACTAAAAAACTTCACCCTAGAGGAATTACTCTACATCAGAATCAGTGCAAACAGCTAAGCGATGCTTAAAAAAAGGGACTCTATGTACATAACTTCTGACGTGGATGCAGCGGAGATCCGTCTGGGGGTTAAAAGGCCAAAATGGACAGTAAAATGAGCAGGGCGGGCGTCTGGCGGACAGTCTGAGCCAAGGGTGCCCCCCCCCCCCGGCCCAGAAACAGTGTCAACAGAAAGGCAGTGGATGAATGGGCTTCCTGGCAGGGGGGTGGCGGGCTCGTTGTGCGTGCAAGCGTGCTAAGATGTGTACTGTCTGGTACTGCTTGGGGCGGGACTGCAGGGCGGGGTGCGAGGCTTAGGGTTTCCGGGGAGAAGGGGGTCATCAGTCCATGGGGGGGGGGGGGGGACGAAAGGCAGCCTGGCGGCTCTGGGTGGGCCAGGCGTCTCTCTGGATAAAACCGTTTCCTGTTATACTGCTCACTATCGTGTGGCGTCATGGAGTTGAAAGGTGGAGGTTGTCAGGGGTCAGTGTAGAGGTCAAAGGTTCACCATACCAGGGAATAGGAACAAAATAAATTAAGCTTCAATGAGGTCGGGCTGCAGGGGGCGCCACCTTATGGCACTGTGTCTCCAAGTCGTTTCTGATCAGCTCATCCCAGGGGAGTTACCGGCCCGGCCCTGTCTCCGGCTCCGGCCCTGTCTCCGGTTCCGGCCCTGTCTCCGGCTCCGGCCCCCTGTCAGCAGTCGGATATCTCGGAACAGGTGTTGGAGTCGTTGGGCAGCTTCCTCCGCTGTCGCACTGACTTTTCTTCGTCCTAAACACAAAAAATACGCCACCTACTGACAACCGTGTGCAACTGTCTCCTTATGAAACTCAGTGTAAACAGTCCTGCTGGCATGAGGGAATGTCAGAGTCGGCGTGCCGCTCTGAGAGGGAACGGGCACCACAGGACCCTGCGTTTACCGTGTGGAAAACCCCGTTTGGCCCCCAATCCCCGGGGGACTGGTCCTCGGCTTCTTCTGCCTCCTCTTCCTCCTCCTCGTCTTCCTCCCGCACCGTGTCAATGCCGTCCTCCTCAAACTCAGTCAGGCAGTCAGACTCCTCCGCTGAGGGGAGGGGCAGCAATGGAGGAGGTCACATCACATCAGAGAAGCTAAAATGGCTGCCACCCCCCTGCCCCCCCTAATATAATGATGTCTGTTTCACTGGCACCCCTGAGGTCAGAGTGGGTGTGATGACAGCTGGAGTGAAGAAGCTGGTTTGATTGTCAGTGAGTGATCTGGGCTGACTGGGTTCTGACCGGGTTCGGGCCGGGTTTGGACCGGGTTCGGACCGGGTTCGGCTCACCCTCGGCGGACACGTAGCTTTGCACCGGCTCGATTCGGGACACGATCTCAGCCAGGTCGGTGAAGTCCGCCCCGGGACATGTGCAGGTCTGAGGGAGGGGTCAGAGAGAGTGCTCAGCGGGGCGTGCTCACGGGCATACACCAGGAGATGGGGTTACGCTGGGGGGGGGGGCGGGGGGAGGTTACTCACATCCGCCTTCTTGCCGTCATTGTAGTCAGCAGAGCGATGGTCTTTCAGCATGTTGTTGATGATGTCACCCCGAGCCCAGCCGGAGAACAAGACTTTACCGTGCTGCAGGCCGACATCCTGAGGGGGGGTGGGGGAGAGAGAGAAAGAGAGCGGGGAGAGAGGGAGGGGAGAGAGAGGTAGTGGGTGAAAGGTAAGACAGGAGAGGGAGGGAGAAAAGGATTTGAAAGGGAGGGAAAGGGAGAGAGAGACTGATAAATAAGAATTTACTCCAGTTTAATGCTGATGTTTCCAGTTACATGTGACACCAACTGTGCCTATTTCACAGAGAAGTCAAGAGTCCGTCCAAAGTATAAAGACTTTACATTTGTCTGCAGTTACAGGGAGGAGATGCCCGAGATCATTACAGTGTCAGGACTGCGGTTAATGCAGGGGGGGTCAGACACAGAAAAGGAGACGCTGAGGAGAGGGCAGGGGGGAGCGCCGAGTGCCTCCACACTCACATGGATCTCGTCGAACTTGCCGAAGTCCATGGTCTTGAAGCGGTCGATGGGCGGCCGGATGTACTCACAGTAAGAGCTCTTCTTCACCAGCTCCAGCTGGCGCACGCACGACACGTACGCCAGGCGCGACTGGATCTCCGCCATGTCCGGGACCTAGGGGGCGCCACCACCGAGCCGGTCACTGGGAGTCAGTCAGCGTTTGCATGCGTGCTTATCTACGGATTCTGGTCCACAGGAACCTCAGACAGTCCTGCTAGTCGTCAGATCAGGATATGGGACACGAAACCATCCAATGTGGGTTTGCCATTTAGGCAAAAAAGTATCTGAACATGCTCAACTTGGCCAACATGCAAAGAAAGTTCTAGTTTCTTCTGGTCGTCATTATTTACAGACACGCATCCATGGTAACTGTACCCATGACGCCTCATGAGGTCACCGCAGGGGACGCCGACAGCCCACCTTGACTTTCTCGGCCCAGGGGTTGATGCGTTTCCAGAGAAGCCACCAGCCGGACAGGCAGTCGCCATAGTTGCACAGATCGGTCTCATCCTGGCTGCCCACATCAATGGCGATGACCGTCTTGGCGCCCACGCTGCGGGCGATGTCGGCTGGGGACGTCGGGGCAGAGAGACGGATACAGCAGCCGGCGGGGCGAGCGGAGCAGCGCGTCACGGCGCAGGTTCCAGAGCACAACACTTTGGCTTCATGCGACACATCAACTGCTCTCACATGCACACGCACAGCCGGGGAAGGACCCGGACATTCGGACCTCAGTTCAAGGTTTTAAACTACAAAAAACCGCCTTTCAAATTTAAGATGAACTGATTCTGTTTTGAGACGTTATCTGCCAGTGCAATAAGAAATGTGTACTTGGTATTTTTTCCTAAAATAAGACAATATGCTGAAATGCAAGTAAGATGCCAGTTTATTTATTAATGAAATTAGAATTTTGACTCAATATAATTTTAATTTTTTGCAGTGTGCCACTTTAAGCGTTACTCTTTGGCCCAATTCCAGGGCTACATAGACATGACTCTGGGAGGACGTTCCTGCAAGCACAGTTAGAGATCCAACGATCTTCTCAAATAACTGGCTGGATTGACTTGCCTGAAGCCTAGACTTGGACTGAGGATCCTCCTGGGCCTTTGCTGTGTGATGTCAGACCGGGGCCCTGGGGGGGCAGTCGAGAAGACGCTCGGCGATGCAGAGCCGTTAAACAGGCTTGCCCCCCCCAGGTGCCGGTACAGTCCGTAATGTGAGAGGAGTTACTCTGCCATGTTAAACATGCCAGGAAGTTATGAAACCAAAATGTCTTCCTACGAAACATCACAGAACACTACATCTGGGGGGGGGGGACACAGACAGACACTGACATTTGGGTAGAAGAGGCTCTATCAGACACAGGTATACTCCACTGGACCACAGCTCCCAGTTCCTCAGCTACTGCATTTACACAGGTGTGCAATTCCTGCAACCACAGCAGAGGGTAGAGCAGACCCTAATCTTAATAGCCAGTGAGCATGTGCCACTGGTGTTTGGTCCAGTGATGGTGGACTTGGGAGTATATCCGGTCAAACAGTCGGGTTTCATCAGAGCAGTTCCGTAAAGTACACAGATGCTGTCCCAAGCAAGCGCGTGATTAGCCACTTGATTAGGTTCAGCATGCCCAGCTGACCATTTGTAACCTTCCAACTGGAATAATGTGCACAAGCCCCTCCCAGATACATTTAAATTTAGTTTGCTAAAGGTTCCGGGCCCATTGCATTCTGGGTGCCCAATCGGACATCAGATATCTCTGATGTGGAAGAATAGCACATTCATCTCCAGTTGTAAGACCTCAAAACATAAAGGTGCGGAGATGTGGTGATGTGGCTTCAGCCCATCGGCAGGGCTGCTCGACACCAATCGCCAGGCCTGTGTCGCGCTCACAGTGTGAATATAAAACGGCCTTCATGGGCAGCCCCCTGGTATCAACAATCTCAGGGTCGACAGGACATCTCAAACGACGCCCAGACAAAACAAAATGGAACACGTGGGCGGGAATAATCTGTCGCATGTTTAAAACGACGTCTCAGTTAATCACTGAAAATCAATTAATATTTGACACAGATTTTCTTAACAGAGAGAAATCTGTATCATAATCAGAGGCAGAAATTTTTTTATCACAGGATGGAGTTTACAACATCCTAAACTCCTATTGGTGGGAGTATGTCAGGTGACATGTCTGCCAGCCAATCATTACACAGACCCTTATTAGATTCACACTGTAATACAAACTGTAGTAGTCAGACTCTCAAGATTCACAGCACAAAAAACCTTAATACCTACCTATGTGCCAAGTGGGGCTCAGGGGACCCAAAATGGCCTCCCCCTCGCACCCCCGGCAGACAGGTGGGCGGCTCTACTTGCCTGGGAGGTTGTTAGTGTACCCTCCATCCATGAGCAAGTCGCCGTCTTTGGGGTCACACAGGGGAGGCAGGTACCCGGACAGGGTCATGCTCGCCCTGACATAGCGCCACAGAGAGCCTGGCACACACCGGGGGGTGGGGGGAGGGGGAGGAAGTGAGTGGGGGGGGGCTCCATAAGGACCCGGCAGCGTCAGAAGAACACACCACGAGCCGCTGACAGGACCTGTCACACCGTGCCCCTCTGTGACACTGTGCATTCTCCCTCCCCCTCCACACTGGCTGCATGTGTGTGTCTGTATCTGTGTGTGTGTGTGTAACGTCGATCAAAGCCAGGGTGCGGGGGGTGGGGGTCACAGAGAGGTTGGGCTGCGAGTAGCAGGGAGTCTCAGTCGACCTCCAAATCCCATCGCATGGACCTTCTGCCATGTGTGACAGTCACAGCCACAGCCAAGCGCTGACGTCCAGATGAGAATGAGGGCAGTAGGCTTCGGGTCGCGTGGCTACAAGTTCAAAGCCAAACTCAAGAGTGTTTAGAAGCCAGGCGACCCACCGTCACCGGGACAGAGGGTCTCGGCCGACTGGGTCTGGAGATCTGACCGGCAGCTTGGGGCAGATGGCTGCCCCTTGCCTGCAGTACCGGTGCTGACCAGGAGGAGGAGACAGGGCACAACATGGATTGGAAGGAGAAAGCAAAGCTTCAGTGGACATGGGGGGGAGTGGGGGGTGGGCTGGTGAGTGATTTCACAATCTGTGTGTGATTTTCAGGGTGGGAGGGTGTCTCTGAGCACTAAAGTAGAGAGCCTGCTAGGTAGGATCCAGAACACACACTCTGTGCCTTGAGTTACAGGAATATATACACACAAGCGGCCGCACTTTTGTGCGTATTCATATGAGCGATAGGATCAAAGCCGGCGGGAGCATCACGGAGACCGAGCGGATTACAGAGCGGGGCGGCAGAGTCCAGGCAGGAAACTCGGCAATACAGACACACCTGATACTGCAGCGGAGACCAAATGCTGGGAAATACAATCTGGCCCATGCAGAACGAGGCCACCAGAGAGCCGGGACCCGTGACAATGAAAATAAACGCAGGAATGCTAATGCTAACCTGTACCTCAAGCTCACAGAAAGACTGAAAAAACTAATCCCGTCTGCTTTTCGTTGCCGTCGCTATACCCCACAGATCAGTTCACCTGACCCCTTACTACTTCTTATCCACAGTGACCGGATCCCCAGAGGCGCCGATCCACGTGTTCACAGTCTGCCAGCTTCGCTAACGGAGACCGCGGGGCTCGGGAACTACAGCCGGAAGCTCGTGAAGGTGGTGCGGGAAGCGAGCCAGCAGGCCGTCGGTCTCGGGATGGAGTACGGCAGGCTGAAGACGAACGTCACAACGAGAGACAGAGAGAAGCAGCACAGGGCCCGTGCAGCACACGGGGGATAGTGTCTATACACACTTATCCGCATTCACTACACATATATCTACGTGTAAATACACGGGTGGAGACACTCACGGAGATCGGACACCTACCGATGGACCCAGAGATGGAGATTGGAGGGCAGAAACCAAATCAGGATAGGGTCATGCGGGGTCGGGGGGTGCAGGGGTGCGTACCTGCATGAGATGGGGTCAGGCCAAACTGAGTCAAGTTAGGGGGTGGGGTGGCTGCCAATCATCAGTGTTTGAGTCCAAATGGTGGGCCGGGGGGGGGGG